GGCCCAGGGTGCGATCCAACGGTTCTGTGTGAACTCACCCAACAGTTCCCATCCAGGCCACAGTTTTCTATCTTTTCTAGAAATACTGACCTGGAATAAATTTTAGATAGTTCTCTGTTTTCTTGCACAAATAGACTTTCCAACACCCTTTGTGTGTGGATGAAACACAAGGTCTACTTCTGGGGAAGCCAGTTCCTCATTCCATGTCTATTTCCTGCACACCTTTTCACTCAAAGCTATGGTGAGGATTTGTTTAAATGATGTGTGAAGATGCTTTAAAATAAATGTCAAACATTGTGTAGCTAACATTACCATTTTAGAGTAAACAGGCTGTTTGAAAGTTTTAAAATACTGTATATGTGAACATCTATATCTGTATTGGAAGTATGTGGATTAGCATTTCGTGCAGGTAGTCAATTTTTGGCTGCTACTTGGATTCATAGAATCAAATTTTCTTACTCAATGACCTGCTTAATCAAGTTCTAACTCGGTGTGAGACTTTTTTTTTTTTAACAGATTTTACATATTTTAACTCAATTCAAACCTGGCAATAATTTAATGAAAAGTTTGAGATGCCGAGAAACACATTAACCAAGAAGTCAAATGCAGTTGATCCAGTCTCTGTTCTTAAAACACTTGGCAGTGTTTTCAGTCATCATCCTAGTTTGTTAAGGCAGAAGTCTCTGGATATTGAGGCCATCATGGTAGCTGCATTCTTTTCTACTTTCTTTTCTGTTCACTAGACATTTTAATCTCATTCCTTATTTCTATAGCTTTTCTTTGGGTAAGCTGATAAAGACACTAAGATGAGCTGTCATTTTTTAAGACTAATGCCTCCTACTGAAGAATAAATGTAAACATGTGACAAGGTGAATTCAGAGGTGAGAAATTAATGTGAAGTTGGGGTGATGGTTGAGGTATTGCGGGGCTGGTTGGATAGGATCATGAAATACCTTGCTAAAGAGCCTGGTCTTTCGGTGGTTGAACATACCACTAAGGATTAGTGAAACTTAAATTATGTGTAGCAACAAAATGTTCAGCATTACAGCTATATTTTCATGGGGAGGTCAGATACTGAACAAGTAGTTATAGGTGTCAAGATTGCTACCGTGGAAGGTGGAGCTTAGAGTGGCGCCCCAAAGTGACTTCAGCCCACATACAAGCTAAATGAAGTGAATGCTTGCTAAGCAAACGTGATCTCAAGGCACTCTTGGTCCCTCTTCCCCGTAACATCTCCATTCCAAGGCACTGTCTGTCAGGAAGTTCTGTAGCTTCTATTAATAGGATGCTAATTAATATGGGATTGTGAAGAGGAAGGCACATCTGCTTAAGGAGCTGTGGGAAGTTCCCAAAGAACTTACTTTTAAGCTAACTGCCAAAGGGTGAATGGACATCGACTAAGCAACATTTGGAAGAAGGAGGCAGAAACAATACAGGCTGAGAAATCCCCAAGGCAGTCGAGTATCCCAGAATGGAGAGAATCCAACCTGGCAGGAGGAGGAGGGAGCGAGAGTAGTGGAGGGTGATGTCCTAGGACCGGGAAATGTCACATTAAGAATGCAGAATTTTCTTTTAAGTGAACAGAAAAACAAGTTTCACTTTCAGTGTTCAACCACTGAAAGGCCAGGCTCTTTAGCAAGGTATTTCACGATCCTATCCAACCAGCCCCGCAATACCTCAACACCTGGAAATGCTGGAAAACTTAAAAAAGTTAAGGACCTAGCTGAGTTTATAAGGGCAGAAAGGGCAATCTCGGTGTCATAGCTAACAGGAAATTAAAAACGAGAGTCAACACATACAGTGATTCTTTGGTCACGCTGGGAAAGTTCTTATCTCTGAGAGAGGCTTAGGTTTTACTGTCTGTGAGTCCAATGAATCAGGTTATTACTCCACCCCTCTTCCTCCACACTTACGGGAATATGTAAAGGTCTGCACACATTAGTGAAATAAGACTGAGAGAAATTAAGTCATACTTGTTAATGGGAAAGAATAAAGCATTGACAAATAGTCAAGGATAGAATGAGTAAACCAGAAAACAGAGCTAATGAAAATGGTGGAGAGAAAACATGGGAAATATGAAAAAGCAGTAAAGAGACGGGAGTCGATAGAAAAATGCGAATTCTGCTAGGGTAGAATCTTTGTTTTGCTTATTAATGTATATTAAATGCTTTGAACAGTGGCAGGCTCAGTGGGTGCTAAGTATTAATGCTGAATAATTATTAGAAACAACATAAGGAGAGACTAGGAAAAGGGCAATAACCAGTGAACTAAGACATTTTTAGTTGACTGAGGGAATGAAGATTTGTCATCAGTGATCCCAAGCAGATCAGTTACTGACTTCTACTTATGCTCATGAAGGTAGAACTGTCACGTAACTTGCCCACCCATTATAAAAGAGAACAGTTGGGCCAAGTACATTAAGCAACTGTTTTCAGACTGGCAATAGGAATAACAGGATTATGTTCTCAGAGAAAAGAAAATCAGCAGAGGGAGGCTTTGTGTTTATATCCTATTTCTTCCCAAGGCAGTTTCAGAATTGTGGCACAGGGAGGAGGAATCCGGTCTGATCTGAGTTGAGATAGAGGTTGAATTCTGAGGAAGCTGAAGTTTGCTGTTGGAGTGCTAGCATGGGAAGAGCTAAAGCAGAGTTTTGCTGATAGGTCTCCTGAGCCTTAGTTGAACACTAATATGGGCATGTGTAGGCTGAAACTTCATGAGGCTGGGGGGAGGAAGAGCAGTGGGTTCAGAGCAATTACGGGAACTGGGAAGCTGAACAATTCTGAGCTCACGTAGGGTTGGAGATCACTCATGCATTCAGCTGCCAGAGTGGACTGAGCTTGTAGGCTAACCAAGGTAGAAATGAGGAAAAAGCTATAATTTATGTAAATAAGAGCAAAGCATAGTAGCCACACTTACTGAAATAAAAAAAAGCTACTAGATTGGACAAAAGATGTAATGGATTCTGAGAATAAATGAGAAGGGCCAATGAACACTTGAATTTGCACAATTAGCTTAATGAGCTAGTCTCATAATTGAAGAATCATTTCAGTTATTGACACAGTTAATTTTAACATCTAGTAACAATGAATAAAATGCTGGAGTTGTTACGAATTGGGATTGCTATGCTCCTTGTATCAGAACTGGAACAAGCACTTTAGAAACAAACTCCCCTGCTAGGTATCATCTCCACAGTAACTTACTCACATGTGAACAAGGAAGCAGAACATTTAAGTTTGTGGAAGCAAATTTTGTCTCAAAATAACTAAGTTGTGTTTTTTAGTAAAATACTGTACAATGACAAAATAATTTACAATGACAAAAATAATTTACATCTGCTAAATCTCAAAACAGTGCTGTTAGTCACAAAAATATGCAATATTCTAACATTCATGTAAAGTGTTAAAATACAAAATACCAAACGATGAATGGATAAACACTACCAGAATACAGAAATACTGAAGTACAAAATTCATAATAATGATTGAGTCTGTGGGTGAAGGGAAGATAAGTATCAAAGCTAGAACAGAAAATGTTAGAAAATTATTAAGTTAAAGGAATTCAGTGGTCTAGAGCAGGAATTGCAAACTTACTCAATGAAGACAAGTTTAGGTTTTGTGGTCAGAGGTAAATCAAGGACAGTAAATATTTTGTTAGTATTCTAAGTACTTTTTCATCAAAATTGCTATTTTAAAATATGAAAACCACTCTTAGCTTGCAGATCATACAAAAGCAGGCAGAAAGCCTTTATGTTGATCCATAGGCCTTAGGTGACTTAGTTTCTCTAAAGCAGCTTCTCTGATACAGCCTTTTGTGATGATGGGAATGTTCCATAGTTGCATTATCCCCAACATAACTATTGCTGGAAGTGGCTACTAGGACTGAGAAATAGATCTTAAATTGTATTTAAGTATTTATTAACAACTCTTAAGAATGTTGAAGAAACTGGAAAAATAAGATTTTAGTGGGACAGTATAAATCTCATAAATCAGTGATTCCTTCAAAGATAGAAACATGCGGAGATGCAGAGGATTTTGGTGTGAGTACCATGGATCAGACAGAAATGCAGTCAAGAAAATTTTGAGTTCAGGATTGGAAGAGTCACCTCATAAAACAGAACTTGTTGACATAGAGTTGAAAAGGGGTAGGTTGATGGTAGGAAGCACCAAGGTCAGAGGGAGAAACATCCAGGTAGCATGAGAATAGTGAGGCAGGAGATGATCAGACAGCTATTATACCTTTGATATTTAAAGAACAGAAGAAAAACACAAGTACTGTCAGACAAACTTTATTGTTCTTTGAGCACATATAGTGCTTTAAAGTTTAATGAGGTATATACAAGTATAGGCTATAAACTTTACAACTGATGTAATTTTCATTGGTTGATCAAAAAAGCCACCAAAAGCTCACTTGACATTCACATACTTAACATTTTTTTTTTAAATAAATAAGGAACTATCCCCAAAATCCATGATCCAGTAATTTGTGATGTCATTAAGGTCATTTTGAAAATGTACACCTAGAGCTTGGGCTTCAGAGTCAGTCATTTACCCTGAATCTAAGCAACCTTCAGTTCTCTAGTTATGATTTTATACACAGTTTATCTGAAAAATTAAATACAACAACAAGGTATTCACAACCAACATATCCTTAAGTGAATGTCACAGATTTTCTTCATTCAAATATTACATAAGGAGTTTCAAAAGATCCTCTATTTAAAAATCATTCTCTTTAGCATTCCCCTTAAGGGGATCAACAAAGATGTCAGAAATTTATAATGAATATGCCTTAATTTATGTCATCATTAATCTCCAAAAATTGGTATAAGGTATATTTTGATGCAAATTAAAGGTGTGGGGAAGTATAAGAATCTAAACTATTATAGTGCTTAAGTTCAGTTACTTATATTCAAAAGAAAAATTAAACCAAATTTATCAAAGATTTAAAAAAAATACACTTGAAATAGAATTTTGAACATGGAATGTTCAAGAGAACATTCCATGGCAATAGCTCAACTCTTCTCAGCATAAGGGAGAATAGGGGGGATTAAACAGCACTGGAAAAAATACTTTTGCATTTACTTTATACTTTTTTTTTTAGAGCTGCGCCTGGAATCTCTTTTCTGCTTGAAAATAGGTGAATTCAAGAAACACAAATCTGTAAATGGGTCCCCTCTCCTCAGTTTCCTGTAAAGGTGTAAAGAGATTTTAGACATAGTTACAAACATATCAATAATTTACTCTTCAGTACAACATTATTTTGAAATATGCCAATGTTAATATTCCCAATTTAGCTTTTACCCAAATTTTATATTGTTAAGGCACATCCTTGATTAAAGTTCCGTATTGCCCCTTGACAATTATCTTTAAAAGTGAGTTCCCACAAATCTAATACTTACGAAGCCAATGTCGGTTCCTTATAGTTCACAATGGCTGTGCACCTACGTTTAGGCAGAGACACTGCAGGGCTTTCTTTATTATTTTTTGGAGAAAGAGAAAGTTTTCTGATTTTCACTATGGGATTCAAGGGAACATTGGTGATATCCTTTAGGCTTAAATGAGGTAACGGGTGAGTTCCAAGTGTTGAACCTACAAAGACAACTTTTACTCAGTATGGTCCCAAGAACAAGAAGAAAAAAACATCACAGGAACTAAAATTGTGAACAGTCAGAAATTCTAGTTATAATCTGATAATAAAAAATTCAACATTTTACAATATAGATTTTTAAAAATTCATTTTTTTTCCTTTTCCTCTCATTTCACTGAAATGTGAATTGGTATAGATATAAAAGCATTACGAAGGCTTATTAAAACACTTATTGAAATTCTTCTAGGACTGAGTGGGCATGATCAATTAGTAAATGACAGGCTGCATTTTAGTCACACATCAGCATCATCAATGTCTCAACACGAAAGTTTCTCATCAAGTGGCTGTCGTCCTGTCACTCAAACTCGTTTTATTCAATAAATGAGCACTCTCAACACAGCTTATGTGTTAATTAGGAGAAAATGGGGTTTCACTAGTAATACAAGTAAGGTAGAAAAGTCACGCAGTACTTTTCTTACTTTTCTTCCAAGCTGTTCTACTTAGACCTATGACGGTACCTGGGCACACAGCTGGCAAACAGCAACACTACCTCTCTGACCAGCTTTCGAAAAGCAAATCATTTCTCATGGAAACTAAACTAATTGTGAAATGACTATATTTAGCAAGGGGTTCTCCAAGATTATCTGGGTTTTCGATCTTTTGTCCTCTTTGTCCCCACAATCATACTATATTGTTTCTTCCAATGTTCAGCTTGGAATGTATAGTTAAGCACCTGTATCAGATCAGTTGCTATCCAGAACAAGCTCCTCAAACTTTAATGTGGATATATAAGTCCTTTGAGTTTTGTTAAAAAGAAGAGGGTTCTGATTTTAGGAAATGTGGAATAGCTGGAGCCTGCACGTCTAAATTTCCAGGTGGCGTTACCAGCGACGGTCTCTCAGCACCAGAACTTGAGTGTGTATTTTTCTTTTAAAAACTTACGAAACTTTCTAACTACACAAAGATAGAGACAATGGTTTAACGAACGCCCAGTTACCCAGCTTCAATAATTAACATTTGCCAACCTTGTTTGATTTATTTGAAAATCGAATCAGCATATTTTAAAAAAGATGTTTGCATGCAAATTGACTGACCCTGGAAAATCTTTTAAAGTTTTTTACGTTAAGTTTCCATATAAACAAGCATGATCACATAAATCAGTGTTGTTCTGAAGATCAAATGAAATAATGTGGCAAGATTTTGAGATGACAAGATTCTGAGACTGATACAACCTGACTATAGTAATTTTAACATAATAATTGAATCTCCTAGATGAGACTCTTTGTGGGCAGGTGCAGGCTGGATTATTAATATTTGAACTATGCCTATTTTTGATCCAGTGAATAAAAAGCAAGACTTTTAAGTGATAATTTAAGAGTCTTACAAATAAATGCCATGATTACATTGAGCAACTCAACAGGGGGAAAGATTTTTGGTCTTACTAGACCACCTTAACTAGAAAATTATTTTAAAACATGGTTCCTGTCAAATTAAATATAAAACAAAACCATTCAAATGATAGGTCACTAGATTTCAGTTTGATTTCCTGTTTCAGGTGAGTGTATAAAAGATATCTTAATTCAACCTAACTCCACGGGAGCATTTTTCCCTACGTGGAAAACTTCCTTTACTGAAAATAAACTGCTTTCTCCCAAACAAGTAGTATTTGTGGTTAACAAGAATTTGAATTAGTTTGAAGAGGTCAGAGCAACAGAATTGCGCTTTTCACCTTCAATCCTCCCACCCCCCCATTTAATCAAACTGCCCTCCCCACTCCCAAAGAAACAGATGGTAAGGCTAAATCTTCCCCAGAAAAACAGATGGTAAGTATAGTAGTATATAAGCACCAGGAGGGATAATTTATCATAAACATTAAAAATGCAGGCAAGTAATTCACTTACTTGTAGGAGTTTTTATTGGTTTAGAAGCCTCAGTCTCCTTTTCATCTGTATACTTTAATGCTCTTTTAGATCTAGGGCTTCTGTCTGACTGGCTGGTGAGATCTTCAGTGTACTTGCAAGTGGGCATATAGAGGTCACCAGAATCTTCTCCTGAACCACTGGATTCGCAGATGCTCACTTCAGATTCGGGGTTGTTTTCTTCACTTTTAGAATCATTGCTTATTTTCTGCCGGAAAGGAGTGAGATGAACACCCTCTTCCAAATTAAAGTTGTAAGCATCACCGGAAGTGACAGATTCATCCAACTTTTCTCTGGAAACAGTCTTTTTATCTTCACTTTTGTTCCCTCTATACTTTGTAGCAGATTTTGACTTTCTCTTTCTGTTAGTTTTTCTTATCTCTTCTTTTTTTCTTCCATGTGCATTTCTATGTTTGCTTTTAGTTTGTTCAGATTTATACCCTAAAACATTGTTTTTCTCTACCATAGAGTTTCCTGGGTAAATAAGCTTTGGTGATCTGTTAATTTGCCCTGCATTGAACTGGCAAACATTTTGTTCCCCACTTTCAGAAATGTGCATGTTTATTAGTGGGTCCACAAACCTAGTTCTTTCCAATTCAGAAGATTGTCGTGACAAGTGATTGATATCACAATCATTGAAGGTATTGAATTGACAGAAATTTTTCTTTAAGCTGCGACGTAGAGATACAGTTCTAGGTAACACATTGTAAGTATGTTTATCTTCTGAATTCAAATCAAAGCCCAGTGTGTCTTGGGAGACAGATGTTTGCTCTGAGATAAAATTAATGATAAAAATGGTTTTATAGAAAATTTAATTACCAGAACTTTAAGAACTTAAAGTTAAAAACAGAATGAATGAAAAGCCATTTAGTAGTTTACCATTTTTACTATAAATAAAAAATAATCTGGAGAATTTTATATTGCCATTATGCCATTGGCATAATCAACTAATGGCTTAAATTTGATCTATGAAAGAACCTTACAGAACATTCGGAAATACTCTAATTTATATTTTATATTAAAAAAAAAAAAAGGTTTATATGTATCTTCCCAGAGGAAGAGAATCTTAGGGAGCCAAGTTGTTTTTTTGAAAAATGGGTAAGACTGGGAAAATTAGAAAGTCAGGTAAGAAATATAATCTGTATTTTTTTTTTTTAGAATTTTTTTTTTTTAAGATTTATTTATTTATGCATACAGAACTGAGGTACAGGCTAGAGGCTCAGGGGTGATGAGAGGCTTCACCAGAGACAGAGTGGGGAACAGAACAGGCAGATTGACAAAGTACACTTTGGGGAGCAGCGGGTGGGTCAGGAGAGGTCTGCCACACCACGTGGTCACCTCCGGGGCAGGCGGGAATCGAACTCATGCGGAAGCGGCTTTAGATTCTCAGTGCTGTGCTTTAACCCGCTGTGCCACCAGGGAGGGCCTATAATCTGTATTTTTAAAGGAAAAGTCATGTTTGAAATTAGGAAAGAAAATATGGTTCTGCTTCTTCAAATGTGATCCCTTATTCAAATCTCAGTATAAGTAGAAAGAACTGATTTAAGAAAAGGTAAGCATCAGTTTGAAGTCGAAAGGGCAATGGTTTTGGAGGTGAGTTTTGAGATAAAAACCTAGCATTTACCATCTGGCTTACTTGTGAGATGCTTTTGAGACTAATAAAATGGGATCAACTATACCTATATTTCAAGATTCTTGTGAGGGCTAAGCGGGATGATGAACATAAATGCCTGATAACAGAGCTTGACACACAGTCGTGCTAGTAAACCGGCTATAACACCAAAGATTCTGATGATATATTTGGCACAATAAATAGGCATATTTTAAACCTATAATTTTGATAAGCCCCAGACAGGCAGATAAGTTAAAATAGACAAAAGAATAATGAGGAACTTAATTGTGTTAACTGTTCTTAAAAGACTTTTATCTTGGGGCCTCCCTGGTGGTGCAAGGGGTTAAGTCTTAGCACTATGGAGCTATCTACAGCAACTGTAGCATGAGTTCGATCCCCAGCCAGGACCCACCTGGAGCAGCAGACCTCTCCTGTCTCAATGCTGCTCCCCTCAGCAGTGTATTTCAGTACATCTGCTTGTTCTGCTCCCCACTCTGGCTCTGGTGATCCTCTCCCCTCCTGGACCTCTGGCCTACACCCCAGCTCTTGTATGCATAATAAATTTAAAACAACAACATTTTTATCTTGCCCTTATTATTTTTAGATTGTCCCTTGAGTTACCTTCTTTTTGCAATGATTCTCCTTGTTCTGTAAGTTGAACTTCCCGAAGAGGAACTTGCCTTAGAAAATACCAACAAAAAAAAAATAGGATTTTTAAAAACAATGTTGTAATAAGAACATTTATGGTTTTAAAAATATTTAACTTTTCACGATTCACTCTAAATCAGTACAGCTGTTCTTTATCAAAGGCTAAAGACTGCATGCATTCTGGCTTGTTATGACTCTGATGTTCATTTCCCACTGGAGAAATTAACTTACCAAGTTGGACAGTTTGTTGAAGCCAGGTCACAACCCGTAATTTCATTTACTGGAGTAACTACCAATCAGAGTTGACTTACAAAATGTTTTAAGGAAATGCAGTTTGAGTCTTTAGGAACCTGCTTTCATTAGCTGAACTGTGATTTTCTGTAACACATCCTTTTATGGTGCTTAACTACTGACTCCTGAAATCATCAATTCACTCACATAAGGAAATCTTGTCCACTTTGGGTCACAAAACAAAAACTCTCTATGTGCCTTACTGTTAGTACTGTTTCATTCTAATGATGATTTATTATTATTTTTTTTTTGCAGAAAATTTCCCCCTTAAATCTTCAAATTAAATATAGTTGATGTAACAGTCATGATAACCTACTAATAACAATTTTAAAAATATTGTATGAATACAATTACCTCATGTTAATTTTTTCCTATTACACAGAAATGTTTTTTCAGGTCTTCCAGTCTAGCTGTTTAAAACTTACTCATGATTAAGATTAATACGGGGCTAGGAGGTCATGCAAGTGATTACTCCTGTAATAGTGGGGCAGACTCAAAGTGGTGCTGATTCTTTCTTTGGGACAATTACACTCCTCAGGATATTTGGCAATGTTTGAAGACATGTTGGTTCTTGTAACTGGGTGAGAGGGTACTACTAGTATTTAGTGGGTAGAGGCCCAAAATGTCAGTTGTGCTGAGACTGAGAAACCCCGAGTTAGTTACGACAATGGCTCCACAGAGGATTTGTATGTTCCAAATGTGTACACACGAGTCAAATTCATCTAGCTGTGTAATTAAGATCTGTGGATTTTACTGTCATTATAACTAAAAAATTCATAAGCAAACATATGAAGTACACTTAACCCATGAGAACATGAAGTAGGCATGTGAAAATGATTGTATTTAGGAATGAATTGGATTAGCAAGACAGTGAGATGAAAGTGATATATGTTATATTTCTTTTCTGAATTATGTTACACTGGCAAAATACCACAATAACAGTATAAAATCATAAGAAAAATGTGATTAAAGGGAATTATTTAAACATTGTAGAGAAGTTTTCTTAAACATCAAAAAAAGCAAATTTATATACAAAAGCTTTAGTTTGGCTCTATGTAACAGAACTGCAACAGAGCAAATTTCTTGAATGTATGATTAATAGAGAACATCAGACTAGAATACAAGAGTCAATACAATGCAAATTTCCTTTCATAAACTGGCCACAGAATTAAATCTTTCTTGGTATTAGACTCAAAAGAATTTGATACTAACGGTAAATCCTTCGCAAATGAATCTCTGAAGTCGCTGTCAACACTAGAGTCCATTCTGGAAGAGCATACTTCCTGGTTCTGTTCATGTATTAAAACAAAGAAAAACTGTTACAACTGAAATATTTGTAAATATTCATTTATTCATCAATAAACACAGTTTTTGTGTTTTAAGAACTGGTTTTACAACAGCGGAAAAATCGGCTATTAAGTCCTACCCTTTTAAAGTTTTCATTGTGCAGGGAGAAAAAGCTTTTAAAAAAGAAATATACAAATAACTTCAGATAGTGAAAAGTGCTCTGAGGATATACTCCTGGTGTAACTGAGGTTAGGGAGTTTTTTAGATAAAATGATTTTCATCTGAAATCTGCAGAATGCAAAAAAGTCAGCCACTGCAAGAGGAGGAGAAGGCAGAGGAAACACATGCACGCACGACTCATGATGTGGGAAAAGCCTTACTGTCGTCACAGAAGAAAGGCCATTATGGAAGAGACACTGAGAAGAGTAAAGGATGCGCGGATCTTGAGAGCCATGAGTGGGGATTTATTCTGCACGTGAGGGAAAGTCACTTAACTATTGAGCAGGGAAGCAAACTGATACAAGATCAGTTTAAAAAGATCAGTTTGAGCACTGTGTGAAAACATGGATGAAAGGGGCCAACGGCAGACGGAATGAGCAAGACGTGGGTTCAGCTAAGAATACAGTCCCATGCGCAAGAGATGAAGCCAGCAGAGGTCTTGAGGTGACAGCATGCGCTCAGACTGAAGAGAGATAGACGTGGAAACAACGAGGAAGGGGAAAGCCTCCTAGGGTCTGACTTGAGCAAGTGCGGAGGTGGCTTTATTGAGATCAGACTCAGGCAGGCAGCAGTACACACCACCTTTGGAAGGGGAAGACAGAGTTTTGTTTTGCAAAAATGTTTAAGCTCCTTTATTATATTTAAGTGTACATATCAAACAAGCAGTAGCCATGAGTGTGCATGTGTCCTGAGCTGTACAGCAGAAGGCACAGCAGAAAGCATTTCAAAGCTACAGGAGGAATAAGATAACAACTGACTTAAAAAGAGGACAGCAAGAGACTTAAATGAAATAATCAGAAAGGCAGAAAGAGACTAGGAGTGTAACATCAGAAAGCTAAGAGAGCAAGCATTTCAAGCAAAGAACAATCCCCGGCTTGGGTATTATTTCAAGATCAAGAATTAAGGACTGATCACTGAATTTTTTAAGATGGAAGCTTTGGTGACCTCGATTCATTGGGACAAATGCATGGCGGGAATAGAAGTCAAAACATTAAGTGCACTGCTCTTTAGACAATTCTGGTAGGAAGAGAAATCAAAAACTGAGGAGAGGAAGGTGAAATAAGGCGAGCTTTCACTATTCTCAAAGTGAGAACTACTAAAGCACATTTATATGACGACTAGCACGAGTTAGTGGAGGTAGATCTATATTGGAGCGGAACACAAAGTTTCAGCAAGGATGAGAAGAAAGGAATCTGATACACAGAGGAGGTTCTGACTTCTGATAAACGAAAGTGAGGATGGAGAATACAAGAATAGACAGACAGGTTTGCAGATTTGTGTTAAAGTGATGAGAATTCCAGTCTAATTCCTTTGAAAGCATTCTGATTCAGTTCTAATTCCATTGTTTTCTGAAATTTGATGGATAAACAATGTGCCAGCATTACAAAGAATAGATTAAAACTGTTACTCAGAAACAAAACAAATATAAATTTAATACTAATAAGTCTTAAGTTTCTTATCTATAGAGTAATATTATTACAAAATATAAAATGTTCTAAGAGTAATATTATTACAAAAAATAGGTAAAGAAAAATATTTAATTACAGAGAGACATAATTTTAAAACCCATTATGAAATGGAGGACCAATACAAAAAAATCCCTTTCTCATTAATCTTTAACATCCTTCTTATTAAATCGTCTAAACCGCCTCATCCCTGCAAAGTTGACTGATAAGCACAGAAGCACCAGTGTGGAGTGATGGCTGAGAATGAGGCACACAAGCAATAAATGCATGACAGAAAATAAATGTAGATGTTTTAAATGCTGAGAACACGTTTGTGCAGCAACTAACAGTATGTTTTAATACATACTTAAAAATTATTATCGATAAATATCAAAACTCCTGCAACAGAATTTTTTCTCCACTGTTTTTACCTTGTTGGGCACACATTTCATACCATTCTATGCGTGATTTTAGCAAAAACTTGAGAAAAGGCAGAGGAAGATTTCAATATCCCTGGAGGGTTTTTTTTCCCCTTCCACTATAGTCTCACTTTCTTATCTGCTAAGTAGCAATATAACTTTCTCCACGGGCACAGCAAATACATAGCCATGGACAAAGTAAACTGTTAACACCTGACACCACAGCTTTTCTCTTGCTAGGCCTCATGTAGTTTTTCTGGCTGTGGTTTCTGTGAAAAACAGAGGAGAAACTGTCTCGTTACTCTTCGTGGGACTAATATGCCAGGAGACAAAGGATATCCTAAACCAAGCTTTCTCCACATCTGTTCTATTTTGACTAAAGGCCACAAGCAGGATCAGATTAAAAACAGACCGCACAATGTTTCTTGTTTGAGAGTTAATGTATAGGCTGGCTGCCTCATTAAGCCAACTAGTAGTTAAAAATGATTCTCCACAGAGCACTCACGTATGCTCCTAACCCCAAGTAAAGATAGTATGCAGAAAACCCCAGTGAATATAGCAAAACTAAGACTTAGGGTAGTGATGCAAATCTGTGGACTAACCGATTCAAACACTACTTTTAGATCATGAGTTAAAGTTGCCGTATCTTAGTACTCTTAAAGGAACTGGCAGCACACAAGGCTAAACTGTTTCTTCTGCACCTTATCTTACTACCTGCTTTCAGAACCGAGTTAGACAAGCATAAATCTCAATAACCTATATCCTCGAAGCTTTCATAACTGGGCTCTCATAGGTTTAACAATTTTTCCTAAGAAATTCAGCTTTTATAAGGAAAAATACCTGAGCAGTTTCCTCTGTTTGTTGTGAAGTAAGTTTTTCTTTTAATGCGTAGAGCTGACATGTAAGGTAGTAACATTCTTTTCTCAGCTGTAGAATGATATCTTGGGCATCTCTCACTTTGGATTTTTCATTTTCCAAAGCTAAGACTAACATCCTGTTGTTGTCCTGGTAGCTTTTCAGTTGTGTTGAAGTGTTGGCTAGAAAGATAATTTTTTTTATTAGTTATTAAATCTAAATTTAGAAAGTGATGCAAAAAGAACAAGGTAAGAATCGCTTACTGATTATTTGGCAAGGCGCAGTTATAAAAGACTTTCGCTTGCCAACCTCTGCCAAATTTTTATTCTTTTTTTCTTTCATTCGTCTTTTTATATCTTCAAGACTATCTTGAAAGGACTTTTTAAGGCACCTTTCCTTAGCCATCTTCTCTCTAGAAATTTAAAACAATAAAAGATGTTTAGTTTTCCTAAGAGGTAATATCAAAAAACAAGACAAAACAGGTTATTCACAGGGAATGAATTAAACAGAGATCTTGTAACTGAAGAATTAGTGCAAAACAGGTAAACTGATAATAGCTTTTTATTTGGTAGCTTTTAAATCCCAATCTTTTGGGCATATTATCTTCCTCATGTACTTTATAGGAAAAAATTTTTCAATGCAGATTTCCAACCCAAAGATTTCATAATATGCAATTTACTTATTCTTTAATAAATACTCACTAGGGGCTCACTATATGCCTGGCAATATGGAAAGTTATTAACATTATATTTTGATTATTTTATTTACTTCCTAAAAACATGGCCAGCCTTTAGTATTTAGGCTTACAGCACTAGTTCAGAAGAACTCATCTATGCGTTTTATTTTCTAGTTCTAATCCGATTAGGTTACTCAATTACTTATCTCTCACACTTATATCCCACTATTACATAAGATATGCATATCCTCTCAAGAAAGTCAAAGGGTCTTCAGAGCTTTTAATTGTGTAGTATTATATGCAATATTAGTAGGCAATTATAATTACAGAGCTAGAAATTCTAGATCAGGAACTGAAGCAGAAGAATATGCCATATTTTCTCATTTATTTGTAAAATTCAGATCTATTAGCTGCCAGGAAATCATGAATTGAGCAAACAAGACACTAACCAATGACTTTCTACATAGTTAAAAATAGGAAAACATGCAAAAAATAGGAAAACATGCATGTTAGCATACATAATTTTAAAATGCAAACCAGAATATTTCAGTTTTCCGCTACTAAGAATATTTACTGCTACTAAGAACTGCCTTTCATGAACATCTTTTACCCTGGGTTGTATTTTGCAAGCCAGTGGTGTTAAGAGGGGGTGTGGTGCAGGGAATGAATGAAAACAGAGACAGCTCAGGCCCCTTGAGCCTCAGATTGTGCAGTACTTGGTTAAAGGGTCTGGATGCAAAACAATCTAGGCTATTTGATCACCGTCATAATTCTTTCATTAATCCTGCTGCCGAGGGAGCTGGGTAGAATACTGGTCAGTGTACACAGTAAGATACACAAAGCCAGGACCAAGGGAAGACGTCAAAGTTGTAAACTTTTTAAATACAGCGAATGCTTCATTTACACATCACAACTCCGTAAGGTAAGAGATTGTTTTAGAGAATCGGATAGCGCAGACCTAACTTTTGGCCACCGATCTTAGAATTACGGAGCAAGCCGTGAGGGAGGTGGAACTGGGGTCACCACGCCCAAGTTCCGCACCTGAAACACCCGCGGCCTTTCTCCGAGGTTCTGGGGAAGCCGGGCGCCCGGGGCGGGCTGAATTGCCGGAAGCGGGTTCGGAGACCGCCTCCCGCAAGTACCCCCACCGCGATACCTTGGCCGCTACATGCGCCGCAGCTGTCCACCTCTGTCCTACATTCCAAGATTCTGCGATGCTTTCCGGGGGTTCGCGCTCGGTGCTCCCAGCCCTACAAATCTAAGGCACCGCCTCCCGTCGCCCGCCGTCTCCGCGACAGCATTCGAAATCTCCGCTGCGCCCACCCATTGGCTGACTCGGACGTCACGTGAGGCTACAGCGCAGTCACGACGCCTCAGAGTCCCGCCCCCATTGGGCGGTGCTACGTGACGCACTCAGTTCGCGCATCTGCATCCGGGCACCTGTCGCACCACCCCGGAGGGCGGAGCGGATCCTTAGACCGCGGCCGCCCGCCGGCTCTTTTCTGCTGTGAGTTGTAGGCTTTTAGGGGTGGAGCCACCCCGAAACATTTACCGCGGGGTATTTCGGGTCACTCTGAAGCTTCCTGTTTCTTAAGTCTTAGGGCTTCTCATGTTTGAGGTTATGCTCGAGGGCTCCCTCTTGCGAGGAGAATGGTTGATAGCCTGCCCAAGCAGCAACGGTGGCAGCTTTTTACGAGTTAGTAAAACCAGAACAGGGGACAGAATTTTGGATTAACGAGAATTAACTGCAAAGAGCTAAAATATTCAGCTTTCCCTAGTTACCTCTGGCCCAACGTCAGAGAACCCATCTCATTGAGTCTTATTTTCTCGTAGCCTATCCAGTGACCCAATTCTACTTTATCAGCATTTCTCACTTCCATCCATTATTTTCCATCTCTTAATCCAGCCAACTATTTAATCTCTTTCTACAGACTCCATTCCCTATGATCTTCATAGAGTGACAGTTTGACAAAATTAAATAGGAAACGGAAACGCTTCCCTTTCCATTTAAGACGAAGTTCAAACGCCCTTATTAAATACCTGATTGCTCATACCCTATAGAGATCTACTTAGGTAGACGCTCATCTGCAATACTGTCTCCTGAATGAGACATCCTTATGTTAATCTTGTGCTAATTAACATTTCAATACTGTAAGACACAAGTGCAGTATTCAAAGATTTATTTCTACCAAGTCAAAAGAGCTTTCTGTGATCCATTTCCAAAAGAAGACCACTTACCTTACCCCACACATTAAAACATAGAGACTTAGTTTATTAGAAAAGATACCAACAAAAGACTACAACTGAATATCTTATCTATTGCAAAATATCACTATAACCATAGCTAAAATCTATGAACTCCTTAACAAGAGTTTCCTTACACACATATCTTAAATGATTTAACTAACGGAACAACAAAGAACATGTTATTCTTTGCATCATACTGTGCCTATGTAAAATACTCAAGAAAATTTGATCTTTTACTTGGTTAAATGTGGATGAATGCACACTTTGATTTAGGGGTACTTTTCAGTTATCCTCCTAAGGGTCATATTGCTAATACTCCTGTATGTTATATTTGTTCAAGAGTCTTAAATGTTTGTCAGCAACCACTAATTCAGCAGATGATGTGTGTGAGAGGTGAACAACAAAAAACTGCATGACCTTGAATGTTCAGGAGAATCTACTGAAATCCTGGCTTGTGACCTTCAGAGTACTATAGAAGGTAAATCATGTGTTGATCAAAAGTTTATGCTAAATAGTACCCTCAATTCAGTTGAGAGAATGACCAAAGGGGAGAAATACCAAAGAAAAACCAAAAGAGGAACCAAAGTTTGAATATTTCCCTGTATCAAACACTTATAGTATACAACTAGAACTTAAAAAAACTGTCCTGATTTCCCCCCAAAAAGTGACTCTGATCTTAAGCAAAACTAAAGCTTTCTTTGTGTTAACATGATCTTACAGCTTTCTAATCAGCTACAGACAAGTAAATTTAACACTTGTACTATCTAAGAATGTAGGTTTCCAGTAATCAAAATAAAAATTATCCCTTCATTCAGACTTTATAAACTGAGCTGTAGCTGCTGAAGACTAAGCTTCAAACAACTTTTAGTTTGAAGTCTTTTGATTCCTGAATAGTTTGTTTATGTAGAGTAAAATTTCTGGATTTTCTTTTGACAATGCATTAAGGGAGCGCTGACATTCTGTGTTCTATTCCATATCAGTACCTCTATGATTGGGTGTACAGAGGTTCTGAGAGCCGGAGAGACCCTACTTACCATTTGAACCAGTTCTTGCTTAGAACAAGAATGGCAATGGTGTTCTGTGTAACAACAACAACAAAATGGAATGTTACATTTTTAAAATACACTAAAAATGACACTACAGGAAGATAGAACAACTTATTTCCTTTCTTTAGTCTATCTCTACTATAGTGAACTTAAGGTAGAAAATATGCATATAAAGAAATAAATAGTTCAGTTGGTCTTATGCAATATTTTTATTGTGGTAAGAATGAAATACATATAACAGCTATGAAACATGAAATACGTGTTTTGATACTCTGCACATATGGGTAGAATGCTCATAGGGCATTTAAAACTAGCATTGCACAATTGAAAGATAAATGGTCAAATTTATATTAATACTTGACATTTTAAAATTGGCTTTATAATGATATTAAACACCAACTGAAAAAAAAACACAAACTGGGAGAATGGGAAAAACTTTATATTTGAGTACCTTTAATGGCACATTTCTCTTGCGTTTGGGGCAAGGCATCTCACATTTTCAGTTTGCATTGGTCCACACAAATTATGTAGTTGGCCTTTTCAGCGAGGGCTTGTAGGTTCTGAGTTTTTAGAAGGTGCTTTGCCTCTTCTCATTTTGAGTAGGATCTGACATCACATCAGGAATTGGCTGGGTGCCATGATTCAGCATGCAGAGGAAATGTCACCGGAATGACTTTGGGCTTAGTTTGTTCTTTTTTTAGTTCTGTTAGGTATAAAGTTGGTTATTTGAGATGTTTTTTTTTAATGTGTTCATTCATTGAAGTAGCTTCCTCTTGGCACTACATCCCAGTAAGTTTTGTTATGTGTTGGTTCTGTTTCCATGTTTCAAAAACTTGTTTTGATTTCCTTTTTGACCTGTTGGTTGTGTGTTGTTTGATTTCTATAATTGTGATTTTTCCATTTTTATCATATTACTGATTTTTTGTTTCATATAACGTGGTCACAGAAAATATTTGTTATGACATCAGTTATCATAAAATTGCTGACATTTGCTTTGTGACCTAAGCGATCTATCCTGGATAATGTTCCATGTGCACTTTAGAAGAATGTGTGTTCTGTGGAATGTTCTGGTGTGTTGTAGGTCCATTTGGTCTTAACTGTAGACCAGGTCATATGTTTTGATACTGATTTTCTTTCTGTGGATAATCTATTCATTGTTGAAAATTTTATATGGAAGTCCTCTACTCTACTATTGTATCATTCCCTATGACCTCCTTAAATCTATTAGTATTCCCTGATCACATCACTGCTCCAGTATTGGTAAACATACATTTACAGCTGTTACATCCTCATGATGAATAGACCCTTTGATCATTATAAAATTACCTTTTCCTTTAATTGCAGTTTTTTGACTTAAAGTTTGTTTTCTCTGATATAACAATAGTCTCATTTTCTTTTGGTTCCTATATGTGGGTTTTCCCTCCCATTCCTTTTCTTTGCTTGT